CCCTCTTTTTTTTACACAAAGAAAAAAATAATGTCTTGCTTTTTCTCCCGGAAGTGTGGGTAAGTCATTCAGCATTGTCGAATGACGGCCTCAAGGAATTAAGAGTCAACAAGTCTATCGACACTGGTTAATCCTTTGTTCCCCCCCACCCCCACCCCACCCCCATGGACAAACACATGATGTCAAAAGACAAAGGGAACGCCAATACCCCTGTCGCCCAGTATGCCGGGTGATATTTTCGTCCCGCCCCTGCCGAAAATACAATTATCCAATCGCAGCACAGGGTTCTTTATTAGTCCCTAAAGACACGTGGTCGAAGTACTATAAAAACGAAAAAGAAAAGTTGAGGAAAGTCATTGAATTCACTGTTCTTCCCAAGCAGTGCGTTCTACTGGTGTCTGCCTAACACAGGCTACTAAAAAAAACCCTGCATATGTGTGCCTGCCTGTTGGATCCTACTTTTTGTTTTTGATTGTAACCTTTATCGTTTGATTGTCATTAAGAATGGCTGAAGCAGCTCCACGAAGAGTGAGTATACTTTGTGACTTTAAAGAATACATGATGTACCTGTGGCTACTTTGAATAGGGTAAAAATTTCCTTGTTGACGTACATGAAAAATACTAAAAGAATTAAGAAGTACTTCTGCCTCATGCCGTACCATCCATGCTCATTTGAAGTTGTCCAAAACATATAAGAATCCTTTCACTTTCAGACGATGACATAGTTTTGAGCATTTTGAACAGCAGCAGAGAGTAAAGATCAAAGACTTTTGTTTACAAAGAAACTTAATGCGACAATACAATAGTGATAGTTGATCCAAAACACAAGTCACAAGAAACGAAATTATACACTAACTCGAAACCATAGCCACGAGTATTTCATTTGATGCAAGTAGACTTTACGTGTACCATGTTTAATAGACCAGATTTAGTCGTAGTCTAATAGAGATTTACACAGAACGATGACATTGTCGAGGTCGTTTTGCCAGAGTAATACTATATAAACTGATGTTTTTAACATCGTGTGAAAGTCACTGCTCCTTGTTTTCAGGTCGAAATGAATTATAAAGTTCTAGCGTTAATTTTATTTTAGTAAAAATAAATCTTGGTTTCGTAGATTTCATTTTTGTCCTGTGAGTAGAAAAGCATGCTATTTGCAAAATATAATCTAATTAATACGTGTACCTTGCTTTGTTTTGTAGGGCTAATGTACTTACACGATTGTGTCGTGTATGAAGTAAGTTTTCTTTATTCTGAATGTAGAGAAACACATTACATCTTGGAAGGAACAAAAATCTTTTTAAATACCGTGATCTAATATGTCCAAGTGGATTGGTTAGTAATTTCTTTGCTGGTTCGAAAGAACAATGTATCCTATTCATCCAGTGCCTTTTCATTAATAAATTAGGCAATTTTGCGGTTCCATATTTTCATGGGTGAGTATGGTTCTTCAGACAACGATAAGCACGGTGACTTATTTTGATAAGTACAAAAAGTATTTTAAGAAAAGAGTACTGTGTTTTTGTTTGTAAATACACTTTTATTCCATTTATCTATCTACTGACTTATTTTGTTTTTAGTGAACTTCACGCATGCGTCTTCTAATGTATGAGCTTCAGACAAGACTTACAGAAAATGGTTGGCATTTCTTAAGTGCTTGATTCTGATTTGTACTCCAACGACCAGCATTTTTAGGATAATAAAACTCGTTGCTCTTTGCATGTTGACAGTGATTGTGTCGAAGAATCTGAAGATGCTACACTTTCAACATCTTTGGCGTCCACATGGGTGGTGACCCAGGACGAAAACACTTCAATGACCACAACCGTAACTACTGATCCTCCCAGTTTTGAAAATTAAAATCAAATTCTGTAGAACCGTATAGAGTTAGGAACTCACACGTTGTATTTGATATCATCAGATTGAGCTTTGATGTCTAATAAAAAGGTACCGGCTTAGTTGGAGATCTACCACGATACCTGGTCTTGTTGAAGGTCTTCCATAACCCATATCTCAACTCTGAAAGCGTGCTTCGTTCCCCTCTTCTCTTGGTCAATAGTTTAATACTACACGGTCAGTGTTCCAAATCATATGGGTTATCCAAGAACACGGTTTTCAACAGCTTGATATAAGATGATTTCATTCGGAATATAAGATGATTTCAATCGGAATTAAGGTTTGGTCTCCATGATATTTCTTGTTGCAGGTCTATTCTCCTCAGAAGCGACTTTTATCCTTACTTTCGCTAATTGTAAAGTTAACTTGAAAGGGATCCATAATGTTATAATGTCTATAATAAAGTGATCAGACCATTGCATTCAAATTTTCATGCAAGAAATGTAGCAACAAGACTATATTTGAAATGCTCTCGGGAGAGGTAGTGCCACGCTTTGTAACCCCCCCCCCCCAAAAAACAAAACAAAAACAGTCCTATTTTAGAATTAATTAATAAGGGATTCAATTGTTGGGGAGACAAGAGATTCAGTTGTTGGCTGTTTCATATCACCAGTAGACATCTACAAAGACTGTTGAATCTGCTTGACATTATTATACTCGATCATTATAGCATCAAGTCATAAGAAAGTGTAAAGCAAGACTAAGTGTTGCCACAAGACGGCAACTTTCTGAGCTGGAAAAAAAGATTAATAACTCATATGACGCAAATCATTATTTGTCAGGTATTTCTACTATAATGATATGATTACCAACTACTACGATTACCAACACACCATCCAGCACAACGTGCCTACCTCCAAAAATTCGATGGCAACAAGGCTAGAGGGCAGTCGAGAAAGACCTGGATGGATGGAGTCAGGGAAACATTAACCACCCACGGCATCCTTCTGACCCAAACTCTCCGGCTGGCGACAGAGAAACGTCTCTTTCTTCCCGCGACACCCAAAAGGGTATAAGCAGCGGATAAAAGTAAACAAAAAAAGTTTTAAAAATGATAATATGGGCCAGTGACAACGTGCCGGACAAACTGATACATAGTCGTCGTTAGGATGTTTATAACATCGATCAATGAACATTCGGCGGACACCAGTGCAGGGCTACTACAATTTTCACTCAACATTATTTTTTAACTACCCCTTATACCCGCCTGCTCTTACTCTTACACATCAGCTTCTTTACTCTTGTCTGTATGGACGGTGAGAAAAGGAGTGACGACATACAAAAATGCAAACCTCGTGATTTTATAATCCAGGTGGATTGTGCTCGGTGGGGGTGGGAGGAGATTGTTTGTTTGCGAAAAAGGCCGGGTAGGTTTGTATTAACGCTACAGTGACCAACTGCCATTTTAAAAGAGGTAGGGTAGCGTTAATTGCGACAGAGTTACTCTGTGACCCCCCCAAAAAACAACAAAACAAAACAAACCCAACAACAACAACCCAACAACAACAAAAAAACGAAGTTAAAAGGAAAACAAACACACACACATGCACACACACACACACTCTCCCCCCCCTCTCTCTCTCTTTCTCTCTCTCTTTCTCTCTCTCTCTCTCTCTCTCTCTCTCTCTCTCTCTCTCTCTCTCTCACACACACACACACACTCACACACACACGTACGTACACATTTTAATACACATACGCACCCACTCATACACATACACACACACACTCACACACATACACACACACACACGCACACACACACACACACACACACACCAAACTAACAAACAAAGACAGTCGCAGCTCTTTTCTTGTTGTTGTTGCCCCTAGTGTTTTTTGTTGCTGTTGTAGCTGCTGATGTTTTGTTGTAATAATTTTGCTACCTCAATATTCGGGCTGTCTAGATCTATAATGTGTACAGATAAAGTCAACACTACTGTACTAAAAGTCTGTGTGGATTTTTGCCACACACTTTAAGTTGAGAAGGCCTTCCTTGTCAGGCGGAGATTAGATAACTAGGACCACCACGCTGGGAAACAAAGCGGAAATGGTTCATCTAGATTCTTCTAGATGATGTTAGATTATAATCATCAAAGTAAAAGAGCACCGTGTTCACTCTGTCGCAATTAACGCCATGTTAGTTGTCACAGCATCACTCTGTCGCAATTAACGCCATGTTAGTTGTCACAGCATCACTCTGTCGCAATTAACTCTACCTTTAACAAAAATTAAGTCGCCCATGCTGAATTTGCCCGACGGCACAGATCAGGGGACAACGACAAAGCCGAAAGAGCAGTGATCCTTGACCGACCGACCATTCGTCGTTTTCCCAAGGCTATCGAGCTCTCAATCTCAACTGTATGATCGTGGGTTCGATTCCCTCTAAGGGCCGACGTTGTGTCCTTGGAAAAAGTACTTTATGTGAATTTTGCCCAGCTTTTGACAGCGAAAGAAAGCGTGAGAGCGCTTTAGTCGGCTGCTTGCACCCAAAAGGGTAAGCGGCGGATAAAAGTAAAAGTAAAGCTTGCACCGTATGCTTCCCAGGAAGCCGAGAATACTTCTGAGTGGTCTGTTGTTCTAGGTCCTGCTTAGGTAATAATGGTCGTGAAGCCCCTTGAGTATGCTGTAGGGCGTGGATAAGCGCTAGATATTTATACAAGTACATGTGTAATAATTATTAGTAGTATTAAATTATTATTACGCTCTTCTGCTGAGGAGATTTTCGTTTTTTCCCCATTTTTTTTCTTTTTTGTTGCATTTTATACACGTATTATAATTGATATCAATATCTTCGTTTAGAAACTTGGCACTTGTGTGTCCCAATTGTGTTGCAAGTGCCGCAAAACTCTTACTAAGAGTAAAATTTTAAAAGCTACTGTAGCAGTGTAGTTATTTAATAAAACGCCATCACCACTGCCTTTCTCAACCTGGATCAACTACTCTAGTGAATTCCAGAATTGTATTTATTATATTAACATTATTCTAACTAAAATGAGTTTTATTCTTAGTGTTATTATACTTGATATTGTAATTATGATCTTCTTCTTCTTCTTCTTCTTCTTCTTCTTCTTCTTCTTCTTCTTCTTCTTCCTTCTTCTTCTTCTTCCTTCTTCTTCTGTAGACTGTTGGAAGGAGGAACAACGTCGACAAACTGTTCCCATTAGTAGAAGAAAGACCAAATAAGCCGGGAGTGATTAAACGCATGCAATTGTGTGCAAGGTATCATACTTTGCTGTGCACGCAATTCCGTTAATTTCCCTCTTCTTTAAGTTTGTCCCTCAGAATTAAGTTTCCCCATTTCTGTCGCGCGCCTAAACGTGCTAGGGCGAGAGGATAGGAATTGATAAATATCCTGAGTCGTCAGTCTTGTACCTTATTCTTGAGATAAGAAGTTAAGAAATCCCAATGCAGCCTGTACAACTGTTCTTTTAATTTTCAGACTTTTGGGATTCCTCAGATATTCAGCTGAAAACTAGATCTACCTCAGAGAAACGGAAAACGCGAGGTTTCATAGCAACATAATGGAATGTTACTTTGGGTGGCTTTCCTTCAAATCACTCAATAGTAGCCATTCTTGTAGATTCAATGTCCCTTCTGCCAGTTCGGTAGGACATTTCGAACCTTATACTTACACTGAATAAAGACTCCACGTGTCTTCACAATTGCATGCGTATAGCAAAATCTGAATTTCGGTGCACGCAATTGGTAGGCCCACAAGTGAGCAGCGTTCTCACTCACAGTCAAAGAAACGTACAGTTCAATCGGTAGCACTGTGGTTCGGTGCGGCTTTGTCGGTTTGGGGCTAGCTCTATACGTTCTTATACTAACCGTCTCTGACCGTCTAGGGATAGCTGGATTGTCCTCCACGGGAGAAGCAAAACCGACGACGACCTTCAATAACGAACATGCGCAGACAAAATTGCACGCAATTTTTTCTGCGTCTGCGGTCAGTAATAGCGCGCGCGCGAGAGAGAGAGAGAGAGAGAGAGAGAGAGAGAGAGAGAGAGAGAGAGAGAGATTATTTTCACTTTCTCAAATTGTACAATTTGTTCAGCACAACAACAAGGATCCATAATATTATGATGTCAATTTGGTCAGATCATTGCAGTCAGAATCAAACTTTCACGTAAGAAATGTAACAGACTGACAAGTCTATTATTATTTATCGGAAACTGTCTCTCGAGAGCGGTAATGTGCCTCTCTTGACACTACATCTCTTGCCTTATTTGAAGGACCCAGATGATGGAGAAACAACTACATGCAGTTGTTGTTTGACATCACTAAGAAGAGACAAAGGCCGCTTGAATCTGCCAGACTTATAAAAGATCGTAACATCAAGTCATAAAGAAATTGTAAAGCAAGACTGTGTCGCCACAATACCGTACGTTCACTTCACTCATAAGTTTGACAAAGAAATTTACTTTCATAGCACAATGTCATTATTTGTCTGGTAATTCTATAATGACTATGATGTAGTTGGCTGTCCACTGACAACGTAACTACGACACTATAACCATCGTTGCGAGATCAAATGACTGGACAGCCAACAACATCGATCGGTGAATATCTTGCCGCTTAAATCGTTAAATAATTTTTCTCGTTTTTTGTTTGCTGATTTTCAGTATTCTTTCCTCCCTTTTCACCCACAGCAACACCCCCAACCCTTTTCCTTTGTTTCCCTTTTGTTCTTTTTGTTTGCTTGTTTCGTTGTTCTTGTTTATTTTTGTTTAAAAAAAAAAATAATTTGTGTTATCTTTTGTACACACTCAGCAATTCGTGTTCCATAAATTTAGCCTGTACCATATTATTTTTCTATACCTCCTCTTCTCCTCTCCAAACTTGAACAGACGCGCGCGCGCACACACACACACACACACACACACACAAACACACACACACTTGAGGGGCGAGACACATATATTAAAATATATATATATATATATATACATGTACATATATAATCCCAAAAAAGAAGGATTGCAGTATCTTGGTCGCAGAGAATCTTTGCTTACACTGTGCGGATTTGGATATGACCACCATTTTTATACCGTCGGGTGCAGAATTGTTTATTCTATATGACATATGTTTTAAAATATTATTTAAAAAATTGAAAAGTTTTGACCATTCGTCGCTTACCCTTACGACGGCAGAAATATGCTAATTAGAAGGCCTATTTTGTTTATTAGCCATTTCTTTCGTGCAGAGCTCTAACAATTTTTGTTCTTGCGCTTAGGCTGCGTTAGTAAGATTTAGGACAAACTTATCTATCGGTAAGGAATAGAGGCGACAAAACTGCTAAGATTTGCGGTGGTCTGGCAGGAATGAACAAAGCTGCACCCGTGAGAAGCAACAGATGGCTTCTTTTTGTGGACTATATCGCGCAAATGCTGGAGCGTCACGCCTTACCCTTATTTTCGTGGGAGAACAGAGTCGCGTACTTTTGAGAAAAAAAAGCAACCATCAAAGCATCTGATTAACTAACAGTACCATCAAAGATCGTACATAATAATAAGATAGTTCAATCCTCTCTTTGAGTCAATTAAAAAGTGTCCTCAGAATCCGGCAGGGCCCTCTTCGAAAAAGTGCGGACTTTGCTTTGCGAACAGTTATCCTACTTGTGTGGAAATACAATAAAAACGAAACTAACAAACTATGCTATTCATATTCTTCATCTGGAGAAACGAAAGAGAGGGGCTCTTCAAAACAAAGACTGCAGCGCCGCCATCTTCTGAACCAATGCGCAGACTTCCGCGGACACTTTTTGAACTGAGTGAAGTATCTTGTGTACGATCTTCGGTACCATTCACCAATTTAAGTACCGGATAAAAAAAATAAAAATATAATATATATATTATTCTATTAAGTACCATCAGCATTGGACTGGGCTTGGGACCAGATATCAGTTTGATTTTGTATTGAATGAATAGGCCTTTCGGGTACAAAAACATATCTGCAGGACATGGAGGATCTTTAAAGTGTAGGGGCAGCATTTTCTTTTGCTCATTTAGGATACAGTTTGAAGTTGTGAGACGTGTCCATCTGCGTACATTTGCTTGTAATACATTCTCCCTTCTTTCTTGCGGTAGTGTCAGTCTGTTCGGTCTGTGTTTTTAATTACAGCTTAGAAACGGCCTTGAAGTCGCTTAACGTCTTTAGAAGACAAGTATTTGGATGGGGTCTATACAGAGTAATTTTGTCAAGGGGGCTGTAACTGTTGGGTGGAATCGGCATTCTAATTGCACCTTCTCACAAGGTCAACACCCCTCGATAAATCTTTGAAAACCAAATCATACCAACAATGGCGTGGTTACCAGTATAGCCCGTTACGAATCTTACAGGCAGTACGTGGAGCCCAATGAAACAACAGCTGAAGAAACGCCAATTTGTTCCCAATTCAGCCGCTTTGTTTGTTACTCTCTGTGACATTTAGAAAAAAATGACTGACAAAAATGCGTCAAATATTTAACAGTCCATTTCAGAAGGTTCGTGCTCTACACGAAACCAATGGCTCATAATAGACAAAATAATAATAGGCACATTTAATGTTTAAGTCCAATTTTTGTGTGTGTGGCATTTGTGCCTGCTCCGTTTTCTGATCTGTTTAAACTATCGTAATGATAATATAAAATTTATTGCAGAGACAAAATCCTTCATTCATTCAATATGCAATATTAGGCTATGTCTATTTATTTATCATTGTTGATTCACCTCAATATACGCACGAACACAATTTTAAGTTTCTTTGATTTCACACAACTTTGCTGTCCGATTCTTTTAAACTTTAAAGGTTAATTTTGAGAGACCACATCTCGGGTGGCTCTTGACATAGATGAAAATGAATGTGTCAGACAATGCAGATTTTTTATTTAACTTTAAATCGGTTTCCTGCATGGGTACTTCGAAGACTGAGCCAAACATTTACTCCTATTGGTGTAGACTTCAAAGCCAAATTTAGGTATCCGTTTTATATTTTTTGGTAATCCATCGTACCTCTTCCGTTCGCCACTTATAGAGACTGTTTCTTAGCCGTTATATCTCAGAATAATAAACTGTCTTGATAAAATAAAATCCATTGTCGATGAGACCTTTTCGTCCCCACTCTGTTGTAAAAGTCTCCTTGTCGAATGATGTAGAATGAAAGTCAAAATAAGTTGCAAGATCCAGTTGTCAGATTACACATTAATTTTTCGCGAAACCACTTTACAGTGAACACAGATAACACAGTTGGCTACATGGTGCGTCTTTTTTTTTAAATAGAAAAAAGTCCTTGCGATTCAAAACAAATTTAGACAACGCATATGTGTACGGCTGTCTTTCAAATTTTACGAGTACCTACCTATGCAGCTCAGTGTAATGTTTGTTTTGTATTCAAATAGAGGCAATTTTGGGTCCAGGATTGATCCTTTGAATTAAAACGTTATAATCGATACCAGCAATTCAATTTCACTCAGTTTTCCAACAGAGGTCCGCGGCTTATTACGTAATGTTAACGAAACTGAACTTTTTGGCTCAGTCTTCCGTATCCCTTTAACATGGTGATAGGGTGATTACATTTTCAAGTTTCTTGAACGTCACTTTGTAATAGATTTCGAGGAATAGTTGTGATTGATTGGCGGGTGCTCTTGTGTAGTTTGCTTCTTTCCTATCAAACTGCTATCACGCTGATCTCTCCTCTTTCTTTTCTTTTGCGTGCTACTCCCTTGTAATCTTCGGCACTTATATCACATGTTTACCGTAGAACTCATACTAACACTAAAGAGAAAAAAAAAGTTGCCAATTAATTTAATGTTCTTATGAAAAGAGACTTAGCCTCAACGAACTGAAAACACGAACTTTTCTCTTCCAATAACAGGTGGCAGGAGAGCAGGATGATGAAAGTTCCCAAAATATGGACGAGATATTAGCCGAACTCAAGAGGCGGCTTGAGGTGCACCAAATAGAGGCTATGGCTCACAAACAAGTGTTCAACCATCTACAAGAGGTAGTTGAAATTCTACATGTAACAGAGAGCTCTCGTTTGGCGTAATTACTTGGGGTGAAAATGTCAGAATGTTGTTGCTGCTGGTGTTCTGGGAAGGGTTTTGCAGTGTTCGCAACTGCATAAGGTCATTTGAGCGCGAGAGACTCATATTTTTTATTTTGGTAGGATTTGATTTTGAATTTTGCCCGGATGGCGGCCGAACTCTACTCTTATCGAATTTAGGACCTTCAAGGTATCTTTAACGTGCGCAACTTCCAAACGAGACCTCCAATATTTCCCCCCGCCTATACACGTGAAGACTAGATCTAGGTGCGTGTTCGATCTTACATACCCTACGATCAGGGATGTGGCTAAAAAAGGCAGCAGTAAGAAGGAGCCAGAAGTAGCAGTAGAAAGAGTCAGGAGCCCAAGAGAGAGAGAGAGAGAGAGAGAGAGAGAGAGAGAAAGAGAAAGGGGGGGGGGGCAGAAAGTGGAGATGAAATTAGTTGATAGAAGATGATTAGAGAGCAGGAAAGGCGGCGAAAGGAGAACATTTTAAAGAAAAACATTTCCGTCGCTGTCAGGTTTCGAACCGGGACCCGTCGAATGAAAGGCGCACACCGTGCATCTGGACCACGAGAACCCTCCGCAGAGAAATAAAAGTGCAATTTGGAAGAAGTACAAATTTTACGAGATGGAAAAACCATTAAATACCAAAAGTAAAAGACGCTACGCTCGTTCCATTACAGAGTACTCCATTTTCAGAGCGTTACAAGCTGAGATAGTGAAAAGAAATCCATTATATCTGATCTATAGCTTTGTACCCCCCCAATTCCTAGCAAAAGCTATGATCAATCTCACATTTCATTTCATGCTCATGCACTGTGTTTCTCCATGGAGTTGCAGTGTTGTAGCTGTTCACTTTCGTTTGTCCGCGTTAAAAAGTTTAATTCTAGCTCATTTATTAATTTATCTATGGCCGCGAAACTTTGCGCAACACTTCTGGAGGACGGCCAAATAATACAAACTATATTTAACCCTATCCGTACGTCGTGTTTTACTATCGTTTCCATACGACTTGAAGAACGAACTCTGCGCCACCACTTTCCACAGAGGAAATTTACTCGTTAATCCGATCCCTTCGCTTTGTATAGCAGTCTGCCAAAATAATTTTTTGAGAAATACTGAACGTTTCAAACAGGTTTTTGCACTAGAAGTATTCTAAAATGTGAAGAATACACTCCAGGGGGTACAAAATAACCCCAGGGCATACGGTTAGAGTTACAAAAATCTTGATCCAGTGATTAAATTGCGCTCTTTGGGAGCATTCACAGGATCACTAAAATAAATAAAATGACTTACACTTACAGTTATCTAGCCTACAAATTGCCCATTTTGAGACAGCGACACCACACTGTCCCTATAATATTATTTTAGTGTAAGTTTATTTAGTGTAAGTTTGTAGATTTCACTCGCCGACTGCAAAGACGTCTCCACATGCACCTCGTCTCTGTTAAAGTTAAAGTGTGGTGTTGAAAGAAATTATGTCAACTTTTTAAATGACTAAAGCCCCGGTTACACGCAACGATACAATGTATCATATTCGTCGTGTGCGAGAACTGTCCGTTTTATCGAACTTTGTTGTCTGTTTACACGTTCCAATCTATAGATCTCGTCCTGTTTTCTTTCGATCGAGGAGATTCCTCGTCATAAAGCCTCCATGTCTCTTTGCGACGACAGCGATTTGCCTGCACTCTAGGTGAAGGTTAAGAGCTCGGGACCTAATGAATGAAAAGCGAACACTGTAACTCTAGATCACGAGAGCACCCTCCCCTCCCCTGTACATTTTGACATAGGGCCTAGCAGAAAAGTGTCTTTAGATTTAGAAAAGGTTGGCCATACTGTAGGCCCTACATGTACCGTGTTGTGTGTAGAAAGAGAATCTTTACTTGACTGCAGTAGATGTGCAACGCACCGAGTGACCTTGATGCCCTTCATCATGGACGATCAATTAAATAATAAAATTACTAGAATTTACATAATTTCGCATCAAATCAGGTTCACGGCGTACAAAAATGCTTCTTTTGAGACGCTGGTTCCGAATATGAAATCAGTTTCAAGATGCGATAAAATATTTTTAAATTTTGCGCTTAGCTTAACCCTGCGTGGCGGCATATTTCAAAGTGATTTTACGTCACTGCGCGTCTCCCCCCAAATCTGAACGTGATCGCACGAAAAATGTCAAGCAACGCTTAATTTCTCGACTGAGTCTTCAAACCGTCGTCCAATCGTCCAAATTCTGTTAAATTTTGTGGTTACGCCTAACGATTTATCCCGTGATCGCTAGATAGTCCAGTTTTTGTACAATTTATCTTTACGTGTATCCGGGCCTTTAGCCGTGTGCTGTAAATTAAATCCCCTACTATTTTTTTGACCCGCCCTCTTTGCCCGCTTCAGACAAACATCGGAACTTAAGTTTCAGTGACCTTTATGAAGACGCTTTTAGATTCTGTTGGTCATTCCTCTTGAAAAAAAAAAGAATGGTGATCTGAACATATAACCTCAAATTGAATGGATTGAATTATAAATCTAATTTAACGCATTCACACAAGGTATCTGATCCCATACAATCGGCGGATTCCAAGTAGTGTCCTTTTAGAAATTTTGATTTATAATAATATTGCTCCATTTATTATTTTAATATTATTTCATTATTTTACTCAAACCAATTCTATTGTTAGTATTATTGTTTTTTGTATTGATGTTATGACCGTGTTTCTTCTTGTTCTTCTTCTTGTTCTTCTTCTTGTTCTTCTTCTTGTTCTACTTCTTCTTCTTCTTCTTCTTCTTCTTCTTCTTCTTCTTCTTCTTCTTCTTCTG